TATATATATATATATATATACATATATATATATGCTGAAGGTTGGTGTAAAGACACCACTACACTCAACATTTTCAGTACCAGTATTATAGGCTTGCTATTAACCAATAATCCTTCTTGCAATTCCCCTAAGTCTCATGATTTTCCAAAGCGATTCGCAATGCAAACGCCCTCTTGAGATCGATGTAGGTTGTAAGCAGCCCAGAGTCAAAATCACAACGGCGTTCCATGACTCGAAGCGCAAGGGTATAGTTTATTGTGGACTTGCCAGGAGTGCACGCGCGCGCGCGCGCGCGGGTGGGTGCTTTACAGGCAGGGTGATGTGAAGCGATCGTGGGGTAGCACAGGTTGTGGTAAGTGTTGCATGCCTTCTTGCTTACCGCTGCTAATGATGGCTAGCCTATTGCAAAAAGAGGGAGCAGCTATGCTTAAGCCTCCCCCTGCCGGTTCAAGACGGGCCATCCCTGGAAACTGGTCACCTTGTGGTCTCAGGCTAAACTGCAAGGAATCTCGGAGCAGCAGGAAGCCCTAGAGACACAGAGCCATGGCCGTGTGTGTGGACACATCCTGGCTTTATACCAACTTCTTCCCCTCAACCTCCTGGGGTTAAAGAGCGGCTCAGAGGAGATAGGCCCTGCCAGTCCTCCCTCGGATATTAATTCTCCGGCAGCAAATTCGTATGAATGGGGTAGCCCACCTGAGGTTAAACCTCGGGAAGTTGTTCCAGGTGTATGGGACCTCTGCCTCCCCTGCTACTGTTGCCTCATAGAAAAGGGGACGGTATACAGTGGGGCCCAACTTCCGGCTGTTAGGTTCCCTAGGACTTTGCCCCACAGGCCTATCACTGGATTGGCGGGAAGCAGGCGGTATGAGTAACTCCTGTTCCCATCCTGCGCTCCAGCAGTTGCCCTCCCAACAGGACCCACAGCCCGCCTCACTTGTTGGGTGGGAGGGGCAGTACCCCTCTCCCCAGCATTTCCATTTACATGACTCATTGCCATTGCCAGTGAGTCTGTAATTAGCAGGGAGGAGGACTGACAAGACCCCCTCCCCTGAGCAGCCCATTTATCCCATGGAGCTGAGGGACAGGGCATGTCCACACACCGGTGGACCAAGACTCTATACCTCTACGGCCTCCTGTTGTTTCAAGATCACCCATAGCTTAGCCTGGGACTGCAAGGTGCCCAGTTTCCATGGGTGGCCACAAGGAGGCACTGCAGAAATCTCGATGGTAGAGAGGCCAAGAACTGGCTGCACCCTTTTTCGCACTAGGCTAGCCAGTGGTGTCAGCTGAAAGCGAGAAGGCATTCAAGCAGTTAACATTACGTTTGCTACCACACCATCGATTCACATCACCCTGAGCATGAAACAAGAAAAAGAACAATCAAGCAATACTGAAATGATAATATTTACATAAACGTAAGTATAAACCTTTCAGGAATTCCTCCCGGGGAAGGGTTTAATTCGGAACTAGTGCTAGTGGACATCACGGCAGAGATCGCGAGCGGGCAAGGAGAGGCCCAGGAGAAAATATACCACCTTGCCGCCAAGTTCCTCCACGCCGACCCCTTCTCCGCTGAAATGAACAAGAGGTTCCAGAGCCACATCAAAGAGTTTCTCATGTACTCGGAGGTGGTACACGAGCTCAACGCTTTCCTGGCTGCCAGGGTGCCGGAGGCGTCACCGATTTGTATCCCGAAGATGATTTACGGAAAGCAGAAAGGAAGCGAGTATGTGCTGGTGATGGAGAACATCAAGGTCGCTGGATATGTGACCAATGACAAGAGAAAAGGCCTTGACGTCGAACACGTCATGAGGGCTGTTGAGGAAATTGCAAAGCTCCATGCAGTGTCTTACGCCTACAACAAGTCTCACAACTTCCTCGAAAAGTTCCCATGTTACCAGTTCAAGGTGGAGGCGATTAATGTTATCCCGGCATTTCTGACCTGCAGCTTGAAGAATTGCGTTGCCTATCTGAAGACGGTGAAAGGCAAGGAAGAACTTGCACAGAAAGTTGAGAACTCAAATGCCATTTTCTCCAAGAAATTTCACGCTCTTTTCGACGATTTCGGAAACGAGTGCCTCTGCCATGGGGATTTCTGGAACTGCAACATTATGTACAAACACAAACAGCATGAAGACGGCCAAGAACAGATCCTTGAAGGACTCAAACTTATCGACTGGGGGAACTCTGGATGGATAAATCCCATATTCGACCTCCAGTACCTGCTTCACACCTCAACCACGCTAGAACTAAGGAAAACCCACATCGACGACCTCCTGCATAAGTACCACACCCTCTTTACGTCCCTCACCACTAAGCTTGGGGCACCCTTGCCCCACTACGACTACACCGCCTTCCGGGAAGACTGGGACCGTACAGCCATCTATGGGTTTACCTTGGGTAACATGCTCATCCAGGGAACCCTCAGCACAACGAACCCCGCAAATAAACCTCGAGGACCCTCCATTCTTGACCACGGTGCTTTCACGCCCATTAGACTCATAGTGAACGGCTTCAAGACGGGCATGGCGAAACTCGTCGGACCAATCATCTCAGGGCCGAATGGTGGCAAGTACATGGAGAAATTCTTGGGAGGAATTCTGAAGCCCATACAGAAGGAACTTTTATCTGGAACGAATGAAGTAATGAATACGAGGCTGCTTGAGATCTTGTGTGAGGCAGATGAGAAAGGTCTCTTTGACGAGTAACGGATATTGCGAAAGAAAACGAAAATGTACAAATGCTTGTCTGCTGAGATAATTGGAAGGATAAATACATTTGTTCGATAAATTACCATTGGGGTTGATATGACAAAGGCATGATTTATGGACATGTGTTTTTTTTCTGTAATTTAAATAAATAGACTAACAACGGAAACCCTGAAGGATTTTCTTTGCATTCCAGATATTTAAGTTATGACTTGATGTGTACTGAAGAATGGGGAAAGAGAGAGAGGGGGTGGGGAGAGAAAGTGAGAGGAGGAAAGAAAGAAAAGAGGAAAGAGGAAGAGAGAAGGTTGGAGGGAGGAAGAGATAGAGAGGGGGGGGGGCGAAAAGGAAGTTAGAGGAGAGGAGGGAAATGAGACGAGGCAAGGAGGGATGTAAGGAGAGAGAGAGAGGGAGAGCTGGAAAAGGAGATGGGAGAGAAGAGGAGAAAGGAAGAGGGAAGGAAGGAGAGAGAGAGAGATTAAGGAAAGAGGGATATAGAAATAAAGAAAGAGATAGAGGAAAGAGGGATAGAGAGATAAAGATAAAGAGAGGAAAGAGGGATAGAGAGAGTGATGAAGAATAGTTGCTACAGTCCTAACGATCCCCTTTCTCCTTCTAGGGAAGGATGACCACGCCCCTCTACAGGTCCGAGGGAATGGGAGCGGACTGATTTCCTGATAAACTGTTCCTTATCCCTTATCAGTAAGGTTCGAGTCTCGCGCATATGGGTAAGGCGTATGTCTCGATTGCCAATGAGTCGAGCCATGCGACACGCATCTGTGGTCTNTATATATATATATATATATAAAGTAATAGTCTGGTAGGTTATATTTATGCAAGGATAATCAAAAGATTTTTTCCTGTTATGTGTCTGAAATTGGTATGGTATTCTCATCTAAAACTATCTTTGAAGATTTTTTTGTTTAGAGATTCATCTAATTTCTATTTTTTTTCTTATATATTACAACTAGAAGGTAATTTGTGGTCACTGATCGTTCCAGACAAAGTTACTGAATTGTTCCTGTATTCAGTTATCACACCTGTTCGTGTCAGAAAAATTGCATAGTTCAAATAAAGACTACCTTTTTATGTAATAGAATTATATTTGCTCTTGATAAGACTACTCAATACTCTGTCCAGGTCATATGTTTTCCACAGTATAGTTTAAATTATGATAGTTCTTATTCATCGTTGACCTTTCAGTAATGTTGCAGCTATTGCAGGTAGGCTTGCAGCGTTGAGGGTTAATGATTCAAAAGCAAAAATAAATGTGCTAATCTAAGGCCATATAGCACAATGGGAAAGTATATTAAAGGAGGGGTGAAGGGTGACAGTTGCTATGCGTCAACTATCTAGAGTGATCTTGTAGGGTTAATGATGGGTAAAGATGTTGCTGTGTGAATGGGCTCTGGTGGGCTTAGGTAAGGGAATTACGTAAGTGTTTCACGTGTGTATCTAGGAGGGAGTAGGAATGATAGAGGGGATGAAGGGAGGGAAAATGTACGTACAGTTGGAGTTGAGGGGGTGGGTTCTGTTGGGAGGGAGTAGGAGGAAGGGGTGTAGTGGGAATATATGCAGGAGGGGGGTGGATGTCGGCAGTCACATCGAGTATGGAGGGAGCATGAGTTATGGAATTATGTATCTCAAGCATATAGTTTTGGATATCTTCCATAGTTTCTGCAGTGGAGTTGTTGGAGAGTTTTGTGGAACAAAGGTTTTCTTATGAGGGGGGAAGAGGAGAGTGGTGTCTGAGGAATGAAGGTAAAGGTAGGTGAAGGTGAGTGTGGTAGAAGGGGTGGAACGTTTAGTCTGTCTGCTGCGGGTAGTGCAGGGAGGGAGAGGGGATGGTGTTGGGTTTGTGGTTGAGATTGGAGTGTCTGGGTCTAGAGTAGCAAAAAAAATTGACGGGGAGATAGAATGTAGAAGTGGAAGTGGGGAAGTAAGTATGTATAGGGGAGGGCGTAGGAACACCTTGAAGTAGAGGAAGAGGGGCTGAGCGACATTACTAAAGTAGGGAGTATAAGAAAAACCTTGTTGGCGTGTTTCCTGTCTGGCTTCACGTAGAGTGAGACCATCTTTGTATCTGATTGTTGCTACCTCAGACTCGAACTTGTAAGTGGGACAGCCTCTATAAAATAAATTTTGGGGGCCGCCGCAGTTAGCACAAATGCGTGTTTGTGTAGAGCAGTTTGATAGCTTATGACCGGTCTGTGGGACGGCAGTGTTTGGCAGGATGTCCAAATCGCCAACAGTTTTGACATTGCCGGGGAGGAGGTTGGTATGGTCGAATAGGGAGATTGTCCACCAATGTAGTAGATACGAACGGGAAGGTCATGTGTACTGAGAGTAACTTTGGCAATGTTGATCAGTTTCTTTCATGACCTCTAGGAGGAATGGTGTAGCAATGTACTGCTTTCACGTCTTGATCTTTGAGGCATTCGATTAAGTCTTCTCTACAGTCTGACCAATCTTTGGTATCGACTAGGCAGTTTGCTGGGGAGATAGAGACAGTTCCGGTACAAGTATTAAGAGTTGGATGAGGTTCTGCAGGAATGGGGTTGCCAGAGTGATCCGTTAGATTTGATAATTCTATAGCTTCAGTTTCAGATCTGACTGTTACGAGACGGGAGCGATCACGTCTGGTATGGAAAGGGACTCTGCCCACTTATTTTTGGAAGCATTGTTGAAAGAGAAGAGTGTTGTCCGAGTAAGGAGCTGTAGGGGGGATCACGAAAAATCGATCCCATTTAGCTGGGCTAAATAGAGTAAGATATTTGTAGGGTTGGTGGTGGTAGAAGGACGGGGACGTGTGGAAGCGGGAGTGTTGTTGAGGGAGGTAATATTACGGAGAGATAGAGAATAAGACTGTAAAGTAGCAATAAGGGAGGTTGGGGTGTTTGATCAAAAAGGTTGTAGGGGAAGAGGTGATGAAATTGAGGAATTTGGGAGAGTAGGAATGTCTTCTGGAGATTGAGTCTCGGCTTGGGTGAGTAATGCACTAAGAGGCATTGAGGAGTGGGTAGTAGTTTCAGTGTACAGAGTCGAGGTCAAAGGAGAGCCTGGGGTCGGGGAGCCGTTGGAGTCTGAATTGGTGGGGTTATTTGATGAAGGAAGCCTCAATTCCTCTAATATGGGTATTACTTCATTACTGGCCATTGGAAACCTTGATTATGTAGGGGAAATAAACAGTCCACCCCCTCAGTGCCCCTTAAGGGGGTAAGGACTAGACAATTAAATCAGGGGAATACCGTGCCCATGGTTCCCGCAGGCCGTTCAGGACAAGGTCAGCCTTTCATCCTTTCAGCACGGCTCTTACACCTTAGGAATTAGATAGTAGAAGGGGTTGGAGTAAGAAGCAGAAAGCTGGAGGGAGAAAAGACCATGCAAAATTAGTTGAGTCGAGAGCTGAGGCCCTAGGTAGGGGAGATCCCTGCATTGGGTCTCAGTCTCCGTCTCCTAAAAAAACCCACGACAACAACGGGCAAGGGATTGGGGGGTGCAGTGTTGATAAAAAGCATTTTCTTCATATCTTGCTTTTATTATTTCCTTCTACAAACATTGATAGAAGCAGATATAATAACTTCTGACAATGCAAAAGTATTTTTATTGTCTGGCAAACCACTTTATAATCTTTCTTATTCATAATGTCATTGGTGCTTATCATTTCTACATCAGTATTAGTGTACCAACTATCACAACATAAATACAAAGAAAAAAAAACATTCAAGTGAACGTACGTGCTTGTAATTATTGTCAGTAAGACTTTAGAATAAAATAATTTTAGTGACTAAAAGCCTTTCATAATATTTTCCCATCAACTTGACTAAAGGACAATCATACAATCCCAGTCTGACTGCTAACATACTATAGAAATAACGACCTTCACTCATTCATTCCTTTATGCTCTGGCCTTTTGTATGTGGGGGAGGAAGGGAGGAATAGGATGTGAGAAAGACAGAGGGTGAGAGGTAGGGAAAGGATAAGGAGAGGAGGAGAGAGGAAGGGCAAGGATAAGGAGAGGAGGAGAGAGGAAGGGAAGGGACAAGGAGATGAGGAGAGGAAGGGAAGGGACAGGGAGAGGAGGGGAGAGGAGGAGAGAGGAAGGGAAGGGACAGGGAGAGGAAGAGAGAGGAAGGGAAGGGACAGGGAGATGAAGAGAGAGGATGGGAAGGGACAGGGAGAGGAGGAGAGAGGAAGGGAAGGACAGGGGAGGAAGAGAGAGGGAGGGGAAGGACAGGGAGAGGAAGAGAGAGGAAGGGAAGGGACAGGGGAGAAGAAGAGAGGGAAGGAAGGAACAGGGAGATGAAGAGAGAGGATGGGAAGGGACAGGGAGAGGAGGAGAGAGGAAATTTGTAATATGTGTTGTGTGTGCATGCGACGTGTATGTATGTGTGTGTTGTGTGTGTGTGTGTGTGTGTGTGGTGTGTGTGTGTGTGTGTGGTGTGTGTGTGTGTGTGTGTGTGTGTGTGTGTGTGTGTGTGCGTGGCAGTGTGTGCATGTGTGTGTGTGTGTGTGTGTGCGTGTGTGTGCGTGTGTGTGTGTGTGCATGTGTGTGTGTGTGTGCATGTGTGTGTGTGTGTCATGTGTGTGTGTGCGTGTGTGTGGGGTGTGCGCGCGTGTGTGTGTGTGCGTGTGTGTGTGTGTGCGTGTGTGTGTGGTGTGTGTGTGTGTGCGTGTGCGTGTGTGTGTGGTGTGTGTGTGTGTGTGTGTGTGTGTGTGTGTGTGTGTGTGTGTGTGTGTGTGTGTGTGCGTGCGTGTTGTGTGTGCGTGCGTGTGTGTGTGCGTGGTGTGTGCGTGTTTGTGTGTGTGTGTGTGGTGTGTGTGTATGTGTGTGTGTGTGCTCGCATGTGTGTGTGCGCGTGTGTGTGCGCGCGTGTGTGGAAGGGAAGGGATCGGGAGAGAGGGAGTGTGTGCCGTGTGTGTGTGTGTGTGTGTGGTGTGTGTGTGTGTGTGTGTGTGTGTGGCGTGTGTGTGTGTGTGTGTGTGTGTTGTGTGTGTGTGTGTGGTGCATGTGTGTGTGTGCGTGCATGTGTGTGTGCATGCATGTGTGTGTGCATGCATGTGTGTGGCGATGCGTGTGTGTGTGCATGCGTGTGTGTGCATGCGTGTGTGTGTGTGTGCGTGTGTGTGTGCATGCGTGTGTGTGTGCTGGTGTGTGTGCATGCTGTG